GACGGACCCCTGGAGGCCAGCCAGCCAGCTGGCCAAGGCTGTACGTGCTTCTTGTCCCAAAGGGTCTGGGCAAGTGGCTGGCTAGATCCGGCGAGTTCATCCCCTCCACTCAAACACCAACTTGAGACATCTGCTCAGCGGATGCTGGGTCGGTAGCATCCGGCGTGTGTTCTGAAGGGAGCACGTACATCTGGCGGGCTGGCTCTGGGTGGGACATAGATCTCTTCAGGGGAGGGGTCCTGTGTCCGGGCCGGAGCCTCGGAGACAGGATGCAAATGCCAGTGTGTGCCTCTGCCTTGGAAATTGCCTGTGTGCTCGTGGCTCATGGCTTGTGGCTTCCCGGTGACGCACACAGTGACACATGTCGGGAGCACAGAGGATAGTAGGCTAGAGTGGTGTGTTACAGCAGAAAGACCCTCGAGCTGGGAATCAAAGATTTAAATGTTGGTTCTAAAGTCTTTTCTCCTGGCTCTCTGATCTTTGCAAGTTAGACAACCCCTCTGAGCTTCAGAGTTCCCGCAGGTGTGATGGAAGAAAATAATACATGCTCCGCTTGCTATAAAGCAGATGAATAAAATAAAACAATGTATGTGAAAATCTTTGTTAATTACTATGTACTGTACAACTGCGGGAGATTATTATCGTCCCAGCCCAGCTCATCAGAATGAGAAGTTGTATGTGGCTTAAAATAATCCATCCAGTGAGCAGTGTTAAAATCTAGGTCAAATCATAGCCTCAGAAGTTTAGAGAGGCTGATGGTAACTACCTAATCTGACAGGCCACCAAATGTGAAGGTGCTTTGAAAGCTGCAAAGAGTTACATAAATGTAAAGCGACATGATTGTGTTTAAGCCTATAAAGTACATTTTAGTCATCCTGTTTCCTGATTTGAAATCATAAAGATCAGAGCAACACTGAAACCTCAGGCATAGTTATATTTGTGCTGGTCTGTGGATTTACATGTGTACCTGTGTGTGTGTGTGTGTGTGTGTGTGTGAACTCCCTTACTGAGTACCTACTATGTGACATTCACTCATCAAGGGATTTTGAGTGCCTGCCTCATGCTAGGTGACTTGGTCTAGGCATTGGGAGTGCTGAGGTTAAGACACACATGGTCCCTCCCCCCAAGGGGCTCATGGCCTTTCTAGGACGCTAGCTGGCAGTTACAGTGCTGGGGAGTGGGTGCTGTGGGGAAGAGAGGACCTATGGCCTCAGTCAGAGGATCAGAGGAGGGAGCCTGGGGAAGGAAATCTGAGAAATGAGGTTGGAGGAGTAAGGGTTTGCTGGTGAACCTGAGGGGGAGGTAGCTGGGGCAGAAGAAATGGTCTATGCCAAGGTGCTGGGGAGGGAAGCAGCCTGCTCTTGCACCTGGTGCAGTCTGTTGGCGATGGGTGGGAGGAAGGCAGTGGGGAGAAGAGACCAAGGCCGGCTGCCAGATCCTGGGGGCCTTCCTTCACACGGGCTAAGGAGCTTGGCTTGATCCTGGAGGCCCCTGGAAGACCCCTCGGCAAGGGCTTAAGCTCTGCAGAGTGACATAATCAGCTTTGCATTTTGGAAAGATCAGAGAGCCCCGTGTTCCTGAGTATCTCACTGCAGTCGACCAGCCAGATGCTGGGGTTTGTAGCAGTGAGTGATGGCTGCAAATGCAGGGCACTGGGATATGCATGGGGATGGGGAGGGCGGGCAGGGGGAAGAGGGAGGGATGCAGTTCTGTGAACAGTTCTGATCAGGACATGTGGCGCGGAAGTTAGCAGTTCTTGATGGACTATATCGTGTTAGCTTTGGATATATGATTACCTCATTGAATTGTCACAGCCTTGCTGTCAAGACGTTACCATCCCTGCTTGGTAGGTGAGGAAAGCAAGACTCAGGGTTAAGAGCCTGAAGCTACTAGTGAGTCAAGAGCAGGGCAGAATGTCCCCTCACCTCCCCCCCACCCCGCCCTCTCCAAATCCCACCAGACCAGAATCTCTGCCCCTCTCCTGCCACCTCCCACCATAGGGACTGTCTAATTCAGTCCCCTTAGTGGACGGATGAGGAGACCAACCCGGGCTCATGTCTGTTCCGCTCAATTTGTTACTGTTTTCCAGCTGCTGCAGGTCACTGTGGATCGGATTGTTCCCTTTCAGGGTATTAGTGACGCTGCCGCTGAGTTCAGTGCTGCTTGCAGATTTGATAAGCATATTTCACATTCCTTTGCTCAGCCCATCAGCAAAAGATATTGAGTGAGCCCGGCCCCATGATAGATGTGAGAATGGACCACTTGATAGGCCTCCTTGAGGACCATGGCCCTGAGCCATCTGCTCACCCCCCTCTCTGTGTTGTCCCCCCAACTCTGTGAACTCGGGCAGGCCCGGAGCAGGAGGCCCCACTGCCCTTCTCTGTGCTCTCATGACATCGCTACCTCAAGAAAGAGTGTCTGTTGGCCCCAAATAACATGCTTTTCCCAGAGCCGTACTTTAGGGCCTGATGGAAGGGGCATGGGCCAGGAGTTGCGCAGACCTAGGTTCGAGCCCCCACCCAGGCTCTGGGGGGAGATTTCGTTTCTTTGGGCACAAACCAGGGGAGCCTGAGGCCTGAATGCCAGATGGAGCATAGCGCACCTTGCCCTGGGCTCTACACGTGGCGGCCTGCCCTGGTGATGTCCACACTCGCAACACGTCAGGGCCTGGTTCAGGGGCACGGCATCCACTGCATCCGGCATCGGAGCATTCCTTCCTCCTGGGGTGTGTTGAGTGGTGAGCACCTCCTGCGCATGCGCATAGCCCGTGCAGACTCCCCTCTGTCTCGAGGTGGCGCCGGAGCCCCCTGCCAGTACCCCTGGGGCCCCCCCCTTCTCCCCGTACTGATGGAAGCCAGGGCTCAGGGGTCCCACAATGTCAAGTGTCTTTATTAGGTCGTTGCAGTGGGGTAACCGAGGTTCCTTTGTGCTGAGCAGGGGCTCCGAATGGCCTTTGCATCCGTGGTCTGTTCGGAATCAAAGAAACTCAGATGAATCCTTCTGTCAGAAATGCAGTCCGTTAAAGAAATAGTTCATAGCCCAGAATTTCTGGGCAGTAGGAGTCTTTCCATACCCTGTGACCACCCAGACTGACCCTGATCCACATTGGTGCCCCCTTCTTGCCCGTGGCCTTGTGCATTGCAGTTTGAGGGGCTCCCCCGTGAAGAGTGGCCAGCGGCTTGGCAAGGTCTGGCCTCGCGCTTTCCAGGCAAACACAGGGGCTGAGTGGGCCTCCTGCTGCCCCTGAATATATGGGGGGGGCGTGTGGGGGGCATGTGGACTACTCACTACGCGCAGGGCCGGGGCTGGGCTCTGGGAACTCAGCAGTGCACAAAACATACAGGGGGCAGAACGTTTGTTCATTCCTACTAAAAACTTGAGAAGCCGGCAGAACGGGCACCTTCATGCTCCCCTTTTATGGATGAGGAGAGTGAGGCCCGGATAAGGTGGTAGACTAACTAGCTGATGGACAAGCCGGGCCCAACCCATGTTGGTCTGCTCTAAGTCCCAGGCCATTGCGTGACCTCACATGACCTGACGTCGACTCCGTTTTGTAAATGCTGAGTGAGCTAGTCAGAATGATCAAGACAGTGCCCACTTGGCCGCAGTGGAGTCAGACCAAAAGCACCATCTCGGCCTGAAATTCACCACCATGGCGCGTAGATCCAGTTGGAAACTGTCACCAGGATTAGGGTGCCTTCTCTCTGCGATCCAGGTGATCACCTCTTCTGCAGGGGTGTCTGCGGGGATCTCATGGACGGCCCAGAACCAGAGGCCTGGCCTACCGTGGGGTACGTGCCCTGCCCATCCACAGGCAGTTTGTCCCCCCTGTGGCCTTCCTGCTCTCACAGCTTCTCTGCCATGTTTTCCTGAAAAGAGCCTGTCAGGGGTCTCTGGTCCTGGTGCAGACTCTCTCTCTACCCTGGACCCTCCCCTCCCGCCCACAGACAGGCAAACCACAGCTATTTTGAAATCACAGAAAATGAAAGTTGAGTAGGATGTTGAGGGACATCTTGATTAAATCCACTGGGAACTTGGGCACCCTTCCTTTCTCTCCCGTGGCACCGGTGCTGCTCCGGGGAGGCACCCTCCCCAGGGAGGACTCTGAAGCCATCTTTGGCTCCTGACGCCCTGCAGGGGCTTGAAGAGCAGCCCATGGTCCCTCTGCTGGGTCAGGGTCCCTTTCTCCTTCCCGGCGTTGTTTCTGTTTGTGATTAGTCATGCTGGAGCCGGCTGAGTCAGAAGCGACCCGTGGGTGGTTTGTGGCCGGGCCGGTGGAGCGGTGAGGCAGAAGGACTTTCTAGGTTTATGCCTCTGTGCTCCATGAGACAATGCAGCAGGGCCTGGCCCTGCCAGGTGCTGGGTGAGATGGGTCCCCAAACCTGACTTGGGGTCTAGAACTCCATGAATGCAGGGAGGGCGTTCAGATGAACCAAGATGCTGTCCCTGAGATGCTCCTGTGGGGTGACAGGCATACGGGCAAGCGCTTTTGAGCAGGTGTATTCACAGGGGCCTCAAAAGTTCCCTATCGCTGGCCATGGTCCTCATTCCAAGTGTTGCTCCTATTTCCAATTGCTATATTTGTATTTCTTTTCAGGGGATCTTATTTTCGAGAAAGGTGATCAGTTAAATATATGACTCATTTAATTTTTGTACCCATGTAAAATGTGTTTCATGGAAATAAACTCCTATCCAGAAACACACTTTTTTGTCAGAGCATGTGTTGTGATTCCGTGGTTAAGGAAACGTCTCCACCTGGAGGGAGAGTGGCAGGGCGTCGGGGCAGCGGCTTCTACCCTGAAGTCCCCTGAGGTTTTATTTCCATGGGACCCGAAGGGTTGGCTCTGGCATTGCCAGGCCAGAGACAGATGAAGGCCAGCCCCACCACGGGGAACAGCCTGGCGTGGCTCTGGAAGTGTGGCCATTGTTGGGGTCGGGGGACAGGGGAGGGGGCCTCTTGGGTCCAGCCCCGGCTTCACAGGCTGTGTCTGTACCCACAGGAGGGAGAGGAGCAGGAGGAGGCTCGTGGCAAGGAGGAGCGGCAGGAGCCCAGCACGACCGCACGGAAGGTGGGGCGGCCTGGGCGGAAGCGCAAGCACCCTCCGGTGAGTGTCACGGCATCCCCCCCGGCACACACACACACACGCACGCACACACACGTGTGCATGCATGTATGCTCTAAACAGCAGGCATGTGTGTCCTGCGGGCACCTGGGACCATGAGGGCTGGGCCATGGGGTGCAGTCTTCCAGCGCCAGCTCACTGACCTTCCCTGTCCTTGGACCCCTATCACCACCTTCACAACTTTCCTGCTCTCTGCCTTGAACCGGAAGTCTCTAGAGAGCAGAGAACTTGCACTGTGAGTTGTGGCAGAGCCGGGACTTCCTTCTGGAATGGGCAGTAAGACAGCCTGCCTGTGAGCCCAGGCCTGCCTGCACAGGCCCCTTTCTCCCCCATCCACACATCCATCCTCGGCCTCAGTCCCACCTGAGAACCTGGAGGAAGGGAGCCCAGGCCTGGGAGTCTGATCAAAGTGAGGAGAGATGCAGGCTGATGGGTCCCTTCAGAATAAAGCAGGAGAGCCAGACACTGTTCAAGTGGGCTTTGGGGCCAGCCCCAAGCCCAGGCTTCTGGGGGCCAGAACCTTAGAGTCTGGTGGGAGCCCCGCGGTTGGCCAAGAGGAACAGTGCTCCGGCGGGTACGGCCCGTGGGCTCTAGGTGCCTGCCTGCCGATGCCTCAGCCTCAGAGGCAGAGCCAGAGTCTCTGGCCAGCACAGAAGACAGCTGGTTCCTTTCTGTCAGCCCCTTCCAGCTGAGAATGGGAAAGTCGAGCAAGTAGGCAAGGGGGAGCTGGGAGCTCAGATTTGTAACTCAGCCCATCAAGGAAATGTTCTCCGCAGGGCAGGATTTTCTCCTTTCGGGCTGGAGAGTCAGGGTGCACGGTGGCCCTAGCGAAAGGGACAGCAGAGGGAGGGAGGGCTGCAGCAGCTGGAGGTGAGAGGGCCCCCAGAGCCAGAGGTCAGGCACCTGCACTTACCAAAGTGCACCACTGCTAATTCTGCTTGAGGACTGGGAGGGGCGGGGGGGGGGGGGGGCAGAAGTTAAGTCATTTAATTGGTAAGTAATTTTAAACATTTTAATATTAAAGCAAACATGGATATTTTATGGCCTGTAATGAAAAATTCACATGAAGTTGAAAGATAAAACGGGGGACTTCAAAGGAATTTCCAGCGTGCAGCAGACTCGAGGCTGTACTCCCAGATTCCCAGGGTGCCCCTCTCCTCTCCTTCTTGTGGGAGAAGGTGGAGGACCCCAGTGCGGGCTGGAGTGGGAGGGGGAGCCAGGCTGAGTCAGAGCCCACCAGTAATTCCCCATCTGCCTGTGTGACCATGATCTTCAGGAGAGAGCTCCACCCCCCCGCCCCTCTTCCAGGTACGCTGGGGACAAGAGTCACCACCTGTAGCAGATAAAGTCCTCGCAACCTTTTGGCTCATCCCTGAGTCCCTAGGACCAGCGGGAGGGCCCATCAGTGGGAGGTGGAGTGAGGCCCTGGGGACAGAAAGTGTGAAGAAGTCAGGGGCAGGTGTATGGAAATGTCTGGAGAGGGACCAGTGAGAGGGAGGAGAGGCAGGGCAGAGTGGGGGCAAAGGTCAGCGGGTCCTATGTCCTCCCCACCCCTGGCCCTGGGACAGGGGCTTAGTGTAGAAGGAAATGCGCCGTCTTCAGGACACAACAGACCTATGTTTAAATCCTAGCTCCACCACTCCCCAGCTTGTGATCTTGAAGAAGTCACTGTCTGAACCTTGGCTCTCCCCACCCCCCTGAAAAACAGAGATGATAAGGACGCATTCCTCCTAGATGCCTTGGGGAATTAACTGTGTGCAAGCCCCAGAGAGAGCTAGTGCTTAGCAAAGGCCTGTCCTGCCCTTGCCCGGCCAAACCTTTCCTCTTTAGGAGGCCGCAGCAACCTCAGTCTGATAGAAGACACAGCACTGGATTTACTGCTTCCCAACTGTGTGGCCTTGAGCAAGTTACTGAGCTTCTCTGAACTTTGGCTTCTTCATTGGGAAAATACGGCTACTAGTAATACCCGTCCTGTCCACCTGCAGGTGTGCTTTGCAAACAGCCAAGTGTCCAACTGTGTAGGGCAGACAGTGTAATAAACCTGTTCCCCTGCAGGGGGGCCTAGGAGCCTGTGGGGGCCAGGGTCTATCAGACTTTTCAGGTAGGAGCCCAGCCTGAGGGTCGCAGCAGCCCTGGTGGGAGGCACTGTACATCCTGTGTGGGTTAGAGACTGGGTGCGGTCCGGCCCATGCCCCTGCTGCCTCCTGGACTCTCAGGAGAGGCCCCCGGCTGGGAGAGAGCATGGGGAAGGCAGCTGTTGTGAACGGAACCCCTTGTACCCTAGGGGAACAGAGAAAGACTGACCCCAGAGAAAAGAGTTTACAGGCCTTCCCAGGCTGCACGCCCCCAGGTCCCCAAGGGACCTCACGCGGGGAACATTGGTGCTGCTGTTGGAGGTTGGCTCCTGGTCCCCTGGCTTCTAGGCCGTCTGGCTTGCTTGTGGAGCAGGTGCTCATCCTGGCCTCCTCCCCTCCCCAGCAGAGGAGCGGAACCGGAGGGCTTCTTGGGGACCTGGTGCAGCTGTGGCCCTGGGAACAGATTGACCAGGGAGCTTTAAAGCAGCTGAGTGTGTCATCCAGCTAAGCCCGGAACAAGGAGTGAGCTTGGCGCAGATCCCGGCAGGTGGCACGGAGAGGGAAATGCTGGGAAGCCGGCTGAGAGCTGGTTGGCGGGCTGGGGTCTTGATCTGTGCGTGTCCTATGTTGGGCAGGGAGGAACGAGGCACAGCCACTGGTGTCCTCACCATCCCCTGGCCCCGAAGCTAAGGAATCATTGCCCCTCTCCTTGTTTTGTCCCCAAGGGCTGTCTGTCCCTGGGTATGTCCCACTCATTCCTGCTCTGGCCTCAGCCTCCTGGCTGCACTCCCGCCCGGACCAGACCCCCGTTGCGCCCCACTATACTTTATAACCTCTCAGTGCCAGGCACATGACACCCAGTGAGCACCTACCAGTCTGAGGAGGCCAATAAATAAGACTTACTTTTCACCCTGGTGTGCTAGAGAGAGGAGGGCCACGTTCATTTACGCTAAATAGTGCTCACGGTACATTTCTGTTCAAGAATCCCTAGGGAGGGACCCCATTTCTTTCTTTCTTTTTTCTTTTTTTTTTTTAAGATTTTACTTATTGGGGCACCTGGGTGGCTCAGTTGGTTAAGGGACTGCCTTTGGCTCAGGTCATGATCCTGGAGTCCCAGGATTGAGTCCCGCATCGGGCTCCCAGCTCAGCAGGGTGTCTCCTTCTTCCTCTGACTCTCCCCACTTTCTTGCACTCTCTCTCATGCTCTCTCTCAAATTAAAAAATAAAATCTTTTTAAAAAAAGATTTTACTTATTTATTTGAGAGAGAGCATGAGCGGGGAGAGGGAGGGGTAGAGGGAGAAGGAGAAGCAGAGTCCCTGCCAAGCAGAGAGCCCAACATGGGGGCTCAGTCCCAGGACCCTGAGATTATGACCTGAGCTGAAGGCAGATGCCTAACTGACCAAGCCACCCAGGCGCCCCCAGGGACCCCATTTCTTATGAGACAAGGACTGGAATATTCTAAATGACCCCTTCCCACATGATCTCTCCTGCCCCTGCTCCGGGCCTCAGTATCCACAGCTTTTATGATAGAAATCCTGACTTCTCCCTGCCCCCGGAACACACCAGGCACGAGTCTTCTGCTACCTCGCATACTGGTCTGGTCCAGCCTGCCCTTCTCTCTCCCTGCCCCACCGTCCCAAACCATCCGAGCCCGTCTCGCAAGTGAAGCCCACCTCAGCCACTGGGACCCTCTCTCCTGAGCTGCTTATAAAATTAATCAAAATGAACACTAAGGAATAAAAGAGGAGATACTAAGCCCACTGATTATGTGCTTGGACAGCTCTGGTCTTTGACCTGCTACAGGTCTTGATACGATGGGAGAATAAGTCATTTGAAACTTTTACATCAGTTTGATACTGTCACCACATCCATGTGCATGATTTTGTATTTTACCAAAGGATCCTTTCTTGAGGGAGTGAGAACTAAGAAAACTACAGCTGAAACCTGGCCTTTCACACCAGTTAGGAAGTGCACAGAGAGAACCTGTCCCTTCCACTAGATTTGACGCTGACTGCCACCCCACCCTGCACTGTCTGCCCACTCACTGAGGCCAGAGACCATGAATAAAGCCTCAGAATCTCGTAGCACTTTATGGCCTACAGGGGCGGCTTTCGGCAAGAATAACCTCCCTGTGGGGAAGTAGGCGGGGCCTCTCATCACCACGCCCACATTCAGATGAAGAGACCGAGGTTCAGAGAGGCCAACTGGGATTTGGACTCCACGCGTCCCACCCTGCAGAGCCCGTAGGGCTCGCTCCTCCTCACCACTCCAGTCACGTGCTCTGGAAGCCTGGGTGTCCAGAATCCCCTTTAAGTTAACACGCGAATGCAGGGCTGTTGGAAAGAAGTGTAGACCCAGTCCAAAGAGCGTACAGGGGAAACAGAACTCATATATATAATAGGATATAGGTGATTGACCTAAGTACCAGGGAGCCTGTGGGCAAGCGGGGAAGGCTGCAGTGGGCTGAGGAGTGAGAGTTGGGCCCGTTCAAAGCAGGCAGCGGCGGCCGTCCGCGGCGCTGGCCTCCGAGCTAGGATGCTTGAGCGGAGCTGGCGGAGCTGGCGACAGGAAACAGGAAGCTGGTGCAGGGCTGGGCGTGGCTTAGGAAGGGAGCCCGGCACCTGGGCTCAGGGCCTGTGGGCTGGCTGGTGCCCACGATGGGGAGGAGGGACAGCAGTGTGCACGGCTGGTTTCTGCTGGCCAGAGAGTGTGAGCCTCTGTGTGGGTGTGAGCGCCAGGGTGAGAGGAAGAGGCATCTTCCTGTTCACCAACTCCTGAGGACGTAACAAGTGAGGGCGGCCGAAGCTGGGTCCTGCCTGGTCACAAGCCCAGGCAGCCCTGCCACCACCTTTGTCTTTCATGCTGGTTACAACGGGGGCATCAGGAGGGACAGTCTCTGCCCTTGC